ACTGGGAGGCACTGGGAGGGACTGGGAGGGACTGGGTGGCACTGGGAGGGACTGGGAGAAGCTGAACACCCTGTACTGGGCACACTGGGAGGCACTGGGAGCCACTGGGAGGCACTGGGAGGCACTGGGAGGCACTGGGAGGCACTGGTACAGGCTGGAGACTGGGTGGCACTGGGAGGGACTGGGAGAAGCTGAACACCCTGTACTGGGCACACTGGGAGGCACTGGGAGCCACTGGGAGGCACTGGGAGGCACTGGGAGGCACTGGTACAGGCTGGAGACCCTGTACTGGGCACACTGGGAGCGCTGGGATTGGCACTGGGCAGACTGGGAGATTTTGGGGGTCTCTGGGGGGATGTTTTGGGGTCCCACCTGGGAGAAGATGAGCACCCTGTGGTTCTGGGGCTGGGTTTGGGATTTTTTGGGGTAGGTTCTGGGTGTTGTTTTGGGGTTATTTGGGATATTTTGGGGTATTTTGGGGTCCCACCTGGGAGAAGATGAGCACCCTGTGGTTCTGGGGTGGGTTTGGGATTTTTTGGGATATTTTGGGATGGTTTTGGGGTGGGTTTGGGTCCCACCTGGGAGAAGATGAGCACCCTGTGGTTCTGGGTGTGTCCCCTCCCTGTCCCCATGTCCCTCCCACACCCCCAGTGTCCCTGTGTCCCCACACCCCCGACTGTCCCCATGTCCCCAGTGTCCCCCCACTGTCCCTGGTGTCCCTTCCGCACCCACAGTGTCCCTGGCTGTCCCCATGTCCCCCTACAACCCCTGCTGTCCCCATGTCCCCATATCCCTGGCTGTCCCCATGTCCCCCCACACCCACGGTGTCCTCGGTGTCCCAGCTGTCCCCATGTCCTCCCAACCCCCTCTGTCCCCATATCCCCCCACACCCCTGGCTGTCCCCATGTCCCCCCACACCTCTGCTGTCCCCATGTCCCCTGCTGTCCCCGTGTCCCCTGGCTGTCCCCGTGTCCCCCCACCCCCCCGCTGTCCCGGTGTCCCCACCATGGCCGCCACGGGGAACAGGTAGGGGTGGTTGCAGCACTTCTTGAGGTCCATCATGATGTTGAGCAGCGACACCTGGTTCCCCCCGCCCCGCGAGTTCAGCGCCTCGAAGTTCCTCGTCAGGATGTACTTGTAGTACTTCCTGCGGGGACAGCGGTGCCACCGGCCGCTCTGGGGACGCTCCGGGGGCTGGGGACAGCCCCGCGGGCGGGGGACAGCGGCCTACTTCTGCATGGGGCTGAGCTCCACGCGCACGATCAGCTCCGTCTTGGCCGGCATGTTCTTGAAGACGTCGGCCTTGAGGCGCCGCAGCATGTGGGGGCCCAGCAGGTCGTGGAGCTTCTTGATCTGGTCCTCCTTGGAGATGTCGGCAAACTCCTCCAGGAAGCCCTCCAGGTTACTGGGGACACGGGGACACTGGGGACATTTGGGGACAATTTGGGGATTTTGGGACAATTTCAAGGCCATTTTGAGGACACGTTTGAGGCCATTTTGGCCCATTTTGGGTACCCTGGCAGCCATTTTGGGGCCCATTAGCGGCCATTTTGTGGAGGACATTTGGCTCACCTCAGGACATTGGCGGCCATCTTGGCGCCATTTTGAGCCCGTTTTCCGCCATTTTGGGGCCAGGTGACCCAGGAGGTGACACAGGAGGTGGCCCAGGTGACACAGGAGGTGACACAGGTGACAGGAGGTGACACAGGAGGTGGCACAGGAGGTGATACAGGTGACAGGAGGTGGCCCAGGTGACAGGAGGTGGCACAGGAGGTGACACAGGTGACAGGAGGTGACACAGGTGACACAGGTGGCCCAGGCGGCCGGGGACGCACTTGAAGCGCTCGGGCGTGAGGAAGTTGAGCAGGTGGAAGAGCTCCTCCAGGTTGTTCTGCAGCGGCGTCCCCGTCAGCAGCAGCTTGTGCTCGATCTTGTACCCGTTGAGCACCCGGAAAAACTGCGGGGACACACCCAGCTGGGGGTGGCCGAGACCCCAGACCCACCTGGGGACAGGGCCCGAGACCCCAGACCCAGCTGGGGATGGCCGAGACCCCAGACCCACCTGGGGATGGCCGAGACCCCAGACCCACCTGGGGGTGGCCGAGACCCCAGACCCACCTGGGGACAGGGCCCGAGACCCCAGACCCAGCTGGGGATGGCCGAGACCCCAGACCCACCTGGGGATGGCCGAGACCCCAGACCCACCTGGGGATGGCCGAGACCCCAGACCCACCTGGGGGTGGCCGAGACCCCAGACCCACCTGGGGACAGGGCCCGAGACCCCAGACCCAGCTGGGGGTGGCCGAGACCCCAGACCCACCTGGGACACCGGCCCAGGAGGTGGCACAGGAGGTGGCACAGGAGGTGACACAGGTGACAGGAGGTGACCCAGGAGGTGACACAGGAGGTGACACAGGTGACACAGGTGACAGGAGGTGACAGGAGGTGACACAGGAGGTGGCCCAGGTGACAGGAGGTGGCCCAGGAGGTGGCCCAGGTGACACAGGAGGTGACACAGGTGACAGGAGGTGACACAGGTGACACAGGTGGCCCAGGCGGCCGGGGACGCACTTGAAGCGCTCGGGCGTGAGGAAGTTGAGCAGGTGGAAGAGCTCCTCCAGGTTGTTCTGCAGCGGCGTCCCCGTCAGCAGCAGCTTGTGCTCGATCTTGTACCCGTTGAGCACCCGGAAAAACTGCGGGGACACACCCAGCTGGGGGTGGCCGAGACCCCAGAACCACCTGGGGACAGGGCCCGAGACCCCAGACCCAGCTGGGGATGGCCGAGACCCCAGACCCAGCTGGGGATGGCCGAGACCCCAGACCCAGCTGGGACACCCTAAAACCCACCTGGGCCACAGCCGAGACCCCAGACCCACCTGGGGACAGCCCGGGACCCCAGACCCAGCTGGGACACCCTAAAACCCACCTGGGACACGGCCGAGACCCCAGACCCACCGGGAGACAGCCCGGGACCCCAGACCCACCTGGGCCACGGCCGAGACCCCAGACCCAGCTGGGGACAGCCCGGGACCCCATACCCAGCTGGGGACAGCCCGAGACCCCAGACCCAGCTGGGCCACAGCCGAGACCCCAGACCCACCTGGGGACACCCTAAAACCCACCTGGGCCACGGCCAAGACCCCAGACCCATCTGG